TACCGTACAAGTAGCAAATGCTACTACTCAAGAGTCAATGGATAGTATCGAAGTTAGATATAGAAATGTGCGAAGGTATATTCTACCTCTTGCCTTAAGCCGCATTAAATAAAGCTTAGATAGTTTCTACCAACAAAATCATGATGAGTGCGGCTAAACTTGGGCTAGACGGTTAGCGTTCCGGAATCCGGAACGAGTCAGAGCTCAGAGGTCTATATTTAGCAGCCGAATAGTGCTCGTGTCTAGTGGCTGAGCTTATCGATCGACCATCTCTATTCTTCCCTCTTGTGTGCCATCATCATCCTCATGGAGTTCTACATACGAAACGTAGACTTTCAAGCAACTGAATACGAGGTCACAAAGAAGATCGCAGAGGTTTTACATGCGTGCCCCGGTCCATTTGTGTCGGATGCCGATGCGCAGCATCGTCCCATCAACTTTAGAGTCATGCTCGAAAAGAATGAGTGCGGAGGCGTTCGTAACAAAGGCTTTGGGTCACTCAGACTGCCCTCTAAGGATGTAGGGCTGAAATTCCGTCGACTTGTTGACGGCGAAGATGGTGTCACCATCAAAGTCGGCAAGAAGCGTCTGAAATTCGCCCCTACAAACAACCACATCCCAAGCAACATGCTTGTCACCCTAACAAAGGCCCCCTATGTGGACCCCGATATCGCTCAGAAACGGCAGGAGAAGATCGATGCGTTAAGTTCTGACTTTCGAATTGCTAAGGTGCAAATCGGTATGTTATAAGTATCCTCGTATACCTTTTTGCCTGTCGCCTTTGGATCATATGAACTTATTTTCCTAGGCATATTTTATCGCCCCGAATGTGCGGGCCCATTAGATCCACGTACCTTCAGTGTGGAATGGCAGTCCAATCTTCTCCGAGTCAACGAGCTTGGGTGGTTGAACTTTGAATACGAGCACAAACTGATCCGTGCGAAGGTTTGGCATATATTTCATTCTGAATAGAAAACAACACACCGTACTCATCCTATAATTGGCTAGATCGGTGATCCAGCGCGTGGACAATTGTTATACAGCCTGATTATTACCTTCGCCAATATCAACAAAATGGCTGTGGGTTCTGATTTTGGTAATCAATGTAAGCATGGTGTCCATAGCTTGAATTTCTGAGTGTAAAATCTCCTTAGATGTATGCTTTGATCTGTTCACACCACCGATCATCGAAAGAGAAGACTGCAACAGAACCCTTACCGGAACATATACCGATAAGAAGAATTATCGCGAACGCGTGGGTGCTATACATCCAGGGCATGAGCAAATTGCTCCATACGCCCACCACATACGCATCATCCTCTCCGAAGATGGAGATCTGGATAAGTTCACGCAGTTCTGTAAAATCGCAGAGCTTCGTCCTCCGATCTCTGGAGTCCGCATCGAGGCCATCTGCCAGGAATTTTTCGCGAGCAAAAGACTGGCTTGGGTCCAAAGATGGCTGAAGTCATTGAGCTCAGACTGGCCTGTAGCATTTCAGATTGAGGCTCTTCTCCGAAATGGTATTGCAAATACAAAGGAACTCGAGAATTTACGCCCCAAGATCGATGATCTGATTCGCTGCCACCGACCATCTGCTGCAGCTATCATGCGATACTTTATGGTAAAAGCTGCGGCTCGTCCCCCAGGCCAAACGATCAACAAGTGCTTCGAGCGGGTGGTACAGGAGAAGCTTGGGAATGTCCGTCCCGGGGCGCCTGCTGGTCGCTTTTATTGTCATCGTGTTACAGTCACTCCGACTCGGCTCATCCTTGAAGGGCCTAACATACTGCAATCGAATCGCGTTATTCGCGAGTACGAAGGCTATGAAGGCAACTTCATTCGGGTCGATTTTCGTGACGAGGATCGTCTCCAGTATCGCTGGGATAGGGAAGTAGATGGGGCGAGTTTCGTCAGGCACCGTGTCGGGGGCTTGCTAAAGGATGGTTTTGAGCTTGCGGGCAAACATTTCGATTTCTTAGCATACTCTTCATCTGCACTGAGGGAGCACGCTGTTTGGTTTGTTAGCTCCTTCCAACATGATACCAAAGGATTGGTCAACGCGCATACGATAAGAAGTAGCTTAGGAGACTTCAGCGGATGCATTTATTCCCCTTCGAAGTATGCTGCCCGGATGGCTGTAAGTCGGCTGTTTCCGTCAATATTTCCTCTAAACAGCCTTTCAGCAAGCCTTTACGGCCACAGATCCATCGGTCAAGATCCATCGGTCGCAGTGGTCGGAAATGCCTGATATCGTCGAAAACGGTGTTATGTTTTCCGATGGTGTCGGCACCGTCAGCGATGAACTGGGTGATTTAATTTGGAAAACTCTCTGCGAAGCTCGACGAGATGGCGGTACGCATGCAGTGAAACCTTCGGCGGCAAGTGCTTTCACGTTTGGAAGTGCTGTACTAAACGAGACTACAGTACCAAATCAGATTCCTTGGCTTTAAAGGCGTCGTGGCTGTTGACAAGCAGCTCAAGGGAATCCACCTTCGTTTGCGAGAAAGTATGAACAAGTTCAAGGATCATGGGGAAGAATATGCTATGATAGAGATTGCTCGTCCCGTTGTGAAACCCAACACTCCTCATCTTAACAGGTATTTACAAGTTCATTATCATTTCAGTTTTATAGTGTAGATACTCAAGTGATTCGTACAGACCTTTGATCACAGTTCTAGAAGACCGAGGTGCCTCAAAGGATACCTTTATGGAGTTGCAGCAAAAGGTTGTCGCGGAAGCACGTACTGCTCACGACTCGGTCAATCTCTTTGCGGGGCTCTTGGAAAGCCACGGATTGTCTCAATCTTTCCGACTGGCATCAACGTTATGGAGACTTAATACCCTCGGTTTGGAGTTGAACCCTACACATCTTCAGCGGAACATCGACACGCCCTTTTTGGCGCAGTTACGGGCTTGTGCCATCAACCACGTACTACGAGCAGTCAAACATGATGCACGCATCCCAATCCCTAACAGCTACATGCTGATGGGTGTCACTGATGAGGGACCTGCTTACGAGAAGAAAGGCTACTCGAATGTGTTCAAGCTGCCTCCCGGCAAGATATATGGTATGCCACTCATTTCCGATAGCTCGCTTTACTTTTTTACCTGCCCTCTCAGCGTGTGTTCACAAGCCAGGGGATAGTGAACCCACATGGCTTCATGGACCTTGTATGATCTCGAGGAGTCCCGTCATACATCCAGGCGATGGTACGTTCCTGCCTGTGCTACACTTATCGCAAATTAACTCGAGTCTAGTCCAACAGTCATACGCCATTGGCAAGCCTCCGAGTGACAAACTTTGCCTTTTTGGTCACCTGAAGAATGTAGTTGTATTTGCATCCACTGGTAGGTGCACGAGTGTTTGAAAAAGTTACATTTACCTATATCCTCAACCATAGGCGCAACCTGTTTGCCAAACTCACTCGGCGGTGGCGATCTTGACGGGTGAGGAGAAATGCCACCTGTCTTGATCTGATATTCATAATTTATAGGGATCTCTATGAGATTATACAATATCCACCCTTGATCCTCCCTGATCATTATGATCCAGCGTCTTATCCTTCGGGGAAGCCTTTCACGATCGAACATCCCAGCACAATTGACGACGTGTGTAATTTTGTTGTGGAATATATCAACTCAGATGTTGTGGTACGTCGATTCCTGATGAGCGTATGTTGATCAATGGCTCAAGTGGGCTACAGGGGCTGGTGTCCGACAAGCATATCACTATTGCAGGCAAGTTTTTTTCTACAAGGATCAAACACCCCAGCTTATTGTGTTCACCACAGATCAAGCTAGCGTATGTAGTGTCATCAAAGATGTACAGAGCTCGAACTCAGATTATATTATAGGATGGGACGTTCAATGAGGCATGCCTGAAACTAGCAGCCCTTCATAGCCAAGCCGTTGACTACCCAAAGAACGGATGGAAGGTCAACGTCGAAGACATCCCTCGCAACCTCATCCCCTACAAACCTGATTGGCATGCAGCAGAGGTGGAATCTCCCCGGCCGACAGATTATTACGAGTCCGACCGGGCCTTGGGCCACCTATATCGTAACATCAAACTCGACGATATTCCCACTTATATTCCTCAGAAGCTACAAAAGCCGCTGAGTGATCTTATCTCCGTTACACTTCGTCCTTTAGTCGAACGACAGCTGAAGCGTCGTGAGAGACCTTCGAAACTCAATGTCTCGATGAACAATATATACTCGATATATGTTGACGAACTCATCTACGTTGCAACCTGCCACACACTCTCACGAGTACCCGGTGCGCGCCTGCGCGAGGAGGAAATCATCGTCGGAACTATCCTTGACAAGTGCTCACAGAAGCGATTCAAAAATGATCGGACATATGCAATGAGAGAATGCATTTCGGTCCTCATTTGCGATATCCGAGGCAGAATGCTACCGGAGAGTATGGCGGACGCGTCACCCGACGAAGTGCGGGATGGCTTAGAGAACGGGTGGTCTGCTTGGGCGCTGAGTCAGGAGAAGTACAAAGCGAGTTACGAGGAGGGAAAACAGGCTTATGATCAGGGAAAGCAGGCTTATGGCACGCAAAGTTTTGGTTTGGTTGCGTTGGGAATTGTGCTGGACTGTCTGGAGGAATTGGGGGAACTGTCCTTAACACCAGCTTAGGATACCATGGTACAATGTATAGACTCAGTTCGTACTTAGAGGAGTACTATGTAGGAAAAATTGGCACCGACCAGTTATCAGATCACATGATCTTTGATCTTTGCCACAGACGCGTCCGCCGAGACCGCCAAGAAACCATCCTAAACCATCCAAGTTGTTCACTCACTGCCACTACTATAGCTATCATTATATTGTCGTTCAGCCCCCGCTATCAAAACACTAGAGCGGTCAACGGTGAGAAGGCGTAACAGTGAGACACTTACTGCGTTGGCACTAAACTGTCTGTCGTGGTACAAGCATAGGTCGTGATTATTTTTGCACCAAGCCCGTTTATCGCGTTCATTATTAGTGAAAGGACAAACTCTACAACTGATAGGTATGACTTGAGGTACCATTAGGGCTCTTGATTCTTTTGTCGCTTTGTCGCAGTAGACAAACAGCATTTGGTTTGTCGTCATTTCTGAGTGCCATAATAGTCTACTGAACTTTGCCAAGAAGGATGCCAACTTTGCCAAGTAACACAAAGAGTAACAGTCCTCATTCGTTGGAGGCTAGGATGAGAACTACGTTCGCGAATGCTCGGACAGAATGCGCCCACCTCGTCGAGGAAGTTGAGGTTCACATGTAAGTTGCTCAGCATTCTTCTACACGATGAACAATACCTCCTTTGCGTTCAAAGCAATTCGGTGCAGGCCACCCTGGCCCGTATAAAAGAGCAGCACGAAGCAGATCGCGTCGATTTGTCAGCGCAACTTCAGGCCAATGCAGTAAGCTTCATAGAGAACGGCCGAAGTATCCTCTTTCGTTGACTAGTCTTCAAGGAGAAGATCCATGCGTTGTGTGCAGAGTATCCTTCGTTGCTCGATGACCTCGTTCGCCAGCGCATACAAAATGTAGATACGATGAAGGCTATGGGTGAGTCCTAGCGTATCCAAAGCGCATATATCCAGGATGATTTTGCACACAGCCCATGCATCGGACGTGGAAATGCGTAAATCACGAAAGAGGCTGATGGAGAAGGCAAAGACACGTCTTGATGACGCACGAGAAAGGCACAAGGTCTGAGGCTGATGCCCTTCTCTCAAACGCAACGGAGCTTAACGCGACACCCACCCGCAGCTCGCTATGGATGCCTCCGACCTCGTGAAACATTACAAAGCACTTGTCCTTGCGCTTTAAACATGTTTATCCAGCGCTTTTCACTTAGGTTTTCAGTTTGTGTTCCTTCCCTCTCTGTAATTTGCAGATGTTTGTATCATCGCCTTGTATCAATAAATCAAATTATCTGGTCTTTTGGTCCGTCAAACTATTTCTAAAACCAGGTCACTGGGCTCCATGATTTTCTGAGCTTGAGACATCGATGACTAGATTAAATCTCACCAATTCACTGGCAGAACGTTGGAGATGATCGTGCTTAGGGAGTGGTTGCGATATCTCGGGCCGAAGATTCAGATATTCGGACATGAACACGCGTAATATCATGTTCCATCGGCGCATGGTCAATACATCAAGTGCTGATGCATCATCCTAGAGAATCTGAGATCAATAGCAATGACAGGCACATGAAAATGATAACGAACGCGAAGGGTGTGCCAGACACGCGGGAATGGATATGCGATAATATGAAGAATGTTGACACCTTTCTGTAGAAAGGGTACGTGATCATCTCCGATATATCCGTAATTATATTGGTTCCCAGAGCCCGTTCGAGGCAAGAAGAAGCTGCGAAAGTTCGCAGTTTCTGCTTCATCAAGAGCACCAACATCCTTGAGCCGAGTTTCTGCGGAAACCATGGCATCAAATAACCAAGCTGTATCGATAAAATAGGATCTTATTGTTGGGTTCGGGGCGCCGAGGAGGTCGAGGAGGATGATGTGTTCGATGGTCGATAACTCCGTCAAACTTGCATGCCCAAGCAACCGTCGTTTAGAATTAGGCACTATATAAGTTGTTGACCATTTGCCTGCGAGATGTCTAAACGAAAGTACACCGTTTGGTTTAGTTCTGATATGCCATCCTCAAGAGAATTGCTGACCTAGCCCCATATACAGAGTCTGTGTCAGTCCAATCTTTGAAGGCTTCCTCGCCGTCAAAGAACACGAGTTGGAGGGTCGTGTCTGCCACATCTTCATCTTCATCTTCATCATCATATCCGTCCTCGAGACGTTGTTTGCGCTGATCAAGAAAGGGGTTCAAAGTCTCTGCTAGGTCGAGCATCATTGCACATGGTGCTGCGGAATCTGTCGCACCCACAAACTGATGGGCTTAGCATACAGCTTCCTGTGTGAATAATTGAAGACTCTGCTAAGTACCTGATTATCTGGGTAGTTGGGGAAGAATTTGCTGTCATAGTGCGCAGACAATATGACACGGCGCGAGGCGGTTGGATCTTTCGTTGCAATGATGTTGGTGAATGACTGAATACCATACGGAGTGTTGTCGGTAAAGGTGTCCTCTTCGACGTGCCAATCCAAAACCTTCAAAGTGGACACGATATATTCACGAACGAGGGTTATGTTTTCACTACCCACTGTTACACTCGTTTCAGTTAGCTTGGAAGGCAGAATAGACACATACCAGCGCGCGGTATGAGGATCTTCGAAAGATGAGAAGTGGGATTGTTGGCGTCTACATTTGCGACCGGGTCCGTTGCGGTCGCAAGAGCCAAAATTTGTTCCGAGGTCAACTGGATGAAATCACGTTCCCCGAGCGTGGAGCCTTGTATCGTTAGTGTAGGCCACAATGCAAACAACAATAGGAGCAGGCTCAGAAATGAAGACTGGCGATGTGGCCGAAGTTCCATTGACTGAAAGATGCGAGCCTAACGCTGAACGGTTGAGCCAGAAAAACCACTGAGATAGATCGGCGTGGTCCGTGGAACGCGAAGTTCCGCGCTGGCTACTTTCCCCTTCGCGCCAATGGCAATCTTTAGCCTATGGGTAGGTTCAACCCTTTTGTCGAGTAATTACCCGAACAATTACTCAAAGCAAGGTGTAAAAGGTCATTAACAAAGCCGGTGGATTGGTCTACCAGCGCAATTTCGCAGGTTGTTCAGAACATTTATGGGTTCAGCCTTGTTCATGACTGAGTCCTTCTCAGATGGCCTCGCTCAGCTCACATCAAACGAGTACTTAGTCCTCGCTGGCACTCTGCATGGAATTCACGCTATTACAAGTCGCTTATCCCCTACTGGTTCAAGCTCAGGTGCACAGGTTATTGAAGGGGAGTCATTTAAGATGACCATCTTGTTGACCGCGACAGGTGCTTGGTCTGACGCACGTCACAGCTAACCCCCTTACATTGATATCTTACAGGAACCAAATTCGTTCTTCTCACATCCTTGGCAGAGGCGACAGCGGATTTGGTTCTTCAAAGAGTGTACGAGGCCTATGCAGACGCTGTCATGAAGAACCCATTCCACACTCCGGAGATGCCAGTTCGTAGCGAGGGGTTTGACACACGAATTACAAGCCTTATTGGCACGGGACAACCATAGTATTATAAAACTTCGTATCAAACGTAAGTCCTCCGTGTGTTTTCGATGTTGCAAGTCTGACTCGTGGCTTGGTGATAGTATTGTTTTTGATATCGTATTTGTAACATTGTCGACTCGAACCACTGGTTTTGAGAGTTCAAACTTTACTGCCCTTCAAAGCTTCATCGGATGCATCACTGAGATATTGTCCTCGACCATTCAATTGCAAGATTCGATAATGTTACACTTACAACACTAGCTAGTGGATCTGTTCTCAATTCGGGTCATGAGTCACGTGATTATTTCACATGCGATACAAATACGCGTCGCGCGTCTTGCAACTCTTGCCAGCTTCATCTCCTTCGGTCTCCTGTCATCCAAGTAAAAATCAACGACTACTTCTTTAAGGTTCTGAGACACTCAGACGTACTTGAAAAGCCATGCAGATGCAACGCACAATAGCAAATACAGAGACCCAGGTATTAATCCACGAGTTGTCGTCAGCTTGGACTTGATTGTTCCTCAGACAATAAGCAACAAGCAGAGCTTAGAATGTGTACAAACGTTACTAAAAGCTGGTTTGGGTTGCATCGCATACCTGAGGTGCGTTTACTATAGCTTTCCGATTCTCATCTCACCTGTTAATTTCAGGGGTCTTCTACCCGCCGAGAACTTCGGTGAATGTGAGTATAGTTTACGAATAGCGGCCAATATACACTAACCAAAAAACGTAGATCGACTTTCATCTCAAAACAATGGACGAGCCTCCTCTTCCTCTGGTTCTTTCTCTTCAGACGGAACTGCCGGACTGAATATCAGCGGTTTCAAGTTCATGACCCTCAACCGAGGTTTCACTAATGAAGGGGACCGTATAATTGACTACCTGGTGCGCATATATCCATCCATTCTCCATGACAGACGCGCATATATCCATGTTTCTCAGGAGAACGGCATATTTGAAGCCATAGACAAGCAATACCTCCGGAAAGTTATATTCGGCATCTACTTGGTGAGATTAGATATACTTAGATACTCTCTTTTCTGATGTTCAGTCTAGGACAGCAAAGATCCCAATAAGTTTGTCAATTTTAGCCTTCAATCATTGCTAGGTTCTCTGACAGGCTACTCGCGCAGCATTGTGGAGGCTTACACCTTCAATTTTCAGGTGAGTGTTCGAGGCTTTGATATATATTATACTAAATGGATGAGGGACGCAAAGTACCACAAACTGCCTGGAAGCCACACCGCCATACCGATCATGACTCTTGGAGATCAATTGTCGAAGATGTCTCTTGCACGCCCAGATCCTGTTTCTGATGCTCTCAAGAAAGGGAAGCTGCCGACTCTTGGGGAGGTTAAAAGGAGTGTTAAGGTACACCAATCCTTACTTATTCAGAAGCATTTCGTTCTCAAACGCTTTGTTTCAGGCAATGGTCAAGTCGCTTATAACTACTATCAATCAGATGGAAAGCCTTCCAAGTGCGTGCCGATGTCTTTTTTTGTCGAGTTCGATAGTAACTCTATGGCTCAGAAAATCGTTACGGAAATTTCAAGTTGTTCTTCAACGAAGATGCCCCAGATGACTATCAGCCCCCTCATTTCCAGGCGGCAGATGCCGAAGCTAACAAATGGTTCTTTACCACCCATATGGCGAATGAAGTGCCGGAACGAACGAGTATCGGCCAAGTGAACGCAGGATGGCATGGGTAAGCACCAAGAATTCCAATACATCAACTTGGGTCCATCTTCTCTTTTCAGCCTCGACATGAAAGTGGTCTCAGTATCATCGTATCTTCCGTCTATATCAGAAGACAACAATGCGCCATTCGCGGGTATCACGTCTCACACAGCCCCGAGGTTGACTCCAGTCGAAGAGGCAAGAATCAGAGTAGAGGACGCACAGTTGCAGAAGAAAGATGCGTTGGAGCGCAACATCGTCTGGAGTGCAGACGAAGACGAGGATGCCGAAGGTGAAATGGTAATCGACGAAGGCATTGTTTTGTGCAGGTTCGGTGGTGACGTAGTCATGGCCCCCGTCGGTATACGCAACGAAGATGGAGGGGTTCAACCATTCCCTCAAGTCAATTATACTTCGTCGCGCGCTCGTGTCCAGTATGGCGGTATATCGGAGTCGACCCCGATATGCGTCGGAGACTTGGTCCGTCACTCATCTGTTCCATCTCTTACCTCACTGATGCTCGCGTTAGAACACTAAAAAGGCTGCTCATGACATTGAAGAAACGCAGCAGATTCCAGCTACTCAGGAGATTGTTATGGGGTCGCCGATACCCGCTCCTTTACCGAACAAGGCCCCATCCTTGCCTGCTTCTGATGTTGCCTTTTCCGCTTCGGTTATTTCGACTCAAGAGGTTGATACTCAATACCTCCAGGATCTACTTGGAATGAGGAATGGTGTGTCCACTGCACCTGATTTAGAGATGTTGGGTATGACGTCTATCTGACGTATTGCATTGCACTAAACTAATTCTTTGCAGATATGGAGACGCAGGTCCTAGAAGCGTCTGGACCATCCTGCAATCTAGGTACCACTGGTCCGCAGATCCCTCGTAACAACCGTTCCAAGGGCTCCAAGCAGTTGATAGATGAAGGCCAACTTGGCTGTGACTGTGGGATATCGGTGCGTACGCAGCGAAATGGAAAGAAATACAAGTGATTTCACCCTTTTAGAAAATTGACGATGCTTCTCTACTGTGTGAAGGTGATTGCAACCGTTGGTTTCACGTTTGGTACGCATTTTCGTCTCTCGCACAAAGCA